TACGATATCACCTTAGGTGGAAGTGGACGTAAAACCCCAGAAACGAACGAACGAACGGCAGACCTAGACAGACACCAAACCTACAGAGTGGGATAGCGGAGTAAGGGGAGGTCACGATAAGACGGGCCTGGCACCTAAACACAAACCCCACAAAGATGACATCTACCAAACTAGCAGGATAGTGGAGTAAGGGGGAGTTACGGTCAGACGAACTTGGCACCTAAACACTATTCCGCAAATAAAACTGATACCAAACCCAGAGAGTGGAGTAAGGGGAGGCCACGATAAGACGGGCCTGGCACCTAAACACCAACCCCAAACGATGACATCTACCAATCCAGAAGCAGACGAGATCATCTACCAAACAATATGTTTTGTATTAAATAAAGGGAAGAACTTCCCACTAAACCAAATCCATGGCCTAAGGCCAAATGGAAAGATTGCAAAATCATATTCTAAAAAACAGGAATCAGCTTCGGCTCTCCTATGTCTTGTCTGCGATATCACTTATGTGGAAGCAGACGTTAAACACCAAGAACAAACGAACGAACGCAGACCTGGAGAGAGACGGGAGAGATCTGTCGAGACTTAGAGGTCTTCCGGACATCGGGAGGGGGCCCGCCCTCGACCCCGGAGCAGAGAAGGGTCCTGTGAGGCCTAAGGGAAGCAGCTATAAATAGACGTTACTATACCCAACCAATTGATGTTCATATGTACCTGTAAATATATTATCCAGTATTAAAATATCTTTTAATAAATAAAGTTATGTATTCTATCACATACTCTTAAGTGGTGCAGTGATCAATTAGCTCAACCATTTTCTAGTATTAAGAAATATGACCTTTCATCTGTTGTATCTTATTCAAAAATTAAATATATTGCTAATAGTGGAACAGTACTCAACTATTTGTATGAAAATTACTAAAACAAACATATAAATTTTGTTTGTTTTACAATGAGTTATGTTGATTGTTTAAATAATACGGTATGTAAATTATAATTGTTTGTTTTGAACACATATTTTGGCTTAAAATTAGTAGTAACTATTAAATGCCATAATTCGAAGTGAAATGTTTTATGATTGTTTAAGTAACTGGAATCGAGTTATGAGTATTCTAATTGAGAGATATAACTCATAAATATTCACACGGTATAAACCGTTTGTCTATATATATTTTGCCCCGGGTTTTACGGGAGAGATTTTATTTGTGTTAACCCCAATAATGCCCGATATGTTACGGGAAAAGTTTTATGTGAAATTCCTATAAGTTGGGATTGGTTTTGCCCCGGGTTTTACGGGAGAGATTTTATTTGTATTAACCCCAATAATATGCGATTGGGAAGCCCGAGATGTTACGGGAGAGGTTTTATGTGAAATTCCTATAAGCCGGAATTGGTTTCACCCCAGCGAGGGTCTTGCTCGGAATTAAGAGCGAATGTGATGTATTGTTTTGTGTTTTGTTTAAAAAAATTATAGAGATAAAACCACTGTTAATTTTGATAGGTTCTTTCCAAAATATCTTATTTAAGATTAATGAAATGTGTTCAGATCATTCATTTTAATTTAGCCTGCGGTAAAGAAATATGACCTCTTACTTTCAATTTGGTTTATGTCAATTCTCATGTAAATATTTGAAAATAGTCTGTTCCACTTACTAATTTGATTAAAAGTTAATTGAGTTCACTCCATGATATAATAAGCAGATGATAAATTTTGGGCACGGATGGCAGTTATAATATTTCTCATGACACGACATGTCATTAAGCACCGTTGGCTAGGCGGTATGGAAAGGAAAAAGACTAACCGACAAGAGTAATAGCGGCCAATAAACAAAGAAGGTGACGATACCGAGTATAGAGTGTTGAAGAAGATGGTGACGGCTAAAAGCCATGACAAGCGGCAGTAAGCTTGAAAATGGAGAAATTACCTATTCAGCATACCTCGACAAAACAGAGCATATATAGTCACTAACATTGGTGGATACTATATGCATAACTGGTGGATATGATGCATACATGTTGGAAAATATATGCTGGCACGACGAAGAATATACGCATACACGGCGGAAAACATATGTTTAAAAGATGGAGAATATATCCATAATTGGTGGAAAATATATACAAACATGGTGCATAGTTTATGCATAATTGGTGGATAAGATATCCATCTATCGATAATTAATGGAGAATATTTTCAAACTTGGATCGCGTGTGATTATGATTATGTTTGTGCGTTCATTTATCATTTATATGACATTCATTTGCGTGACGATTTTTCCCGCGTACTGTGTTCCCACGTAGTGTGTGCCGTTATTAATAGAATATCTTGATCTAGGACTAAACGCGTAATGTGACCAATGACTCTTATACTTTTGTGAATATTTTTAGTTTCGATGTTGTGTTACTTCTTGTATATAACTTTTACGAAATATGTCCGCCTTGACACTATATTTACCCTGGCGTTACTCTGTGGACTACTGAACATTTTTTGTACCGTAGACAATATTTCCATCCGCTTTTGGATGCTTCAATTATTGTATTATGCTTTAATCTTTTATTGTTTTAAAATCGTTTGATGTATTTTTTTTATATATTCAAATATTTTAAAATTGTGGTTAAGGGAGGAATGTAATACAATATCATTTGGGATCTATATTTCAATATTGTATTCTTAAATGTTTTATTTGTAACTCATTTTGGACATATATTAAGTGACCGATTTAATCTATATCAGGTGTTGGGTGTTGAAATAGTATTATGTAAGATTAAATGGATTGTACAAACATGTATACTCGGAGTGTCTATATGATATAAGATTTAGGCGTAACACGTATTGACACCTTTTGTCTTGAGCTAAGATGTGTGAATCTTAATAATTACTTTTCATTGTTCTGATTACTAATGCTATTAACTATGGCGTGCATAGCTGACGCGACAGATATTGCTCCACGATATAAAAAGCCTAGTTGAGAGCCAGGTGGAAGTGGACGTAAAACTCCAGAAATGAACGAACGAACGGCAGACCTAGAGAGAGACCTGTAGAGACTTAGAGGTCTTCCGGACCTCGGGAGGGGACCCGCCCTCGACCCCGGAGCAGAGAGGGGTCCTGTGAGGCCTAAGGGAAGCAGCTATAAATAGACGTTACTATACCCAACCAAATGATGTTCATATGTACCTGTAAATATGTTATCCAGTATTCAAATATCTTTTAATAAATAAGAGTTATGTATTCTATCACAGGCGGTGTCACATCCACTTTTTTTTGTTAATATTTAGTGTCTAATTTTGGCAAAACAAACCGAACGCCCAGCCTTATTTGCCTCTTGTCATATTACAGTAATTGCAGCTATTTAATATTTCTTTCTCACCATTTTAAAAAGTACCACATCAATGAATGCAGGAATGTGGACGTATATTGCAGCGTTAATGATGCTCTAGTTGTTTTCCTACTGTGATTAAATGAAAGGGGGAAACTACATAAAACATTACATGGTACCAGTACTGGTTACATTTTCCCCAATTGACTTAGGAAATTATGCCTACCCGCGCAACGTTAAGACGCTGCTGATGAATAAAATTCGGTACCAGTTACTAGCATGATACTATCGACAATAAAAATGTGGCTATTATTGCCGATGCCCTGGTGGACCTTGGTGCTTGATAGTTACAAGAACGTATCTAAAAACATTGAGATAATTTGATGGAAGTTAAAATATTCAGCGATAACAATAATGCATACCTCTTTCTTTCCCGTGACATTTTATTCTATTCCTCAAATTTCCACAAATTACTGATCTACCATCTGACCTATTCAATGACTAATTTTCGCGGGGAAAATCGAACTAAACCTAATCTCTAAAAGCTGAAGAATGGGGCCGCTTATATCAACATAGCACTTCATGGTATCCAGACAACTCATCCCAAAGACAATTCATCCCAAGACAACTCATCCCAATATAAGACAACTCATCCCAAGTTAGAAGACAACTCATCCCAAGTTAGAAGACAACTCATCCCACTATAAAAGACAACTCATCCCAACTTTAAACCAACTTTATATAACTTATAAGTGATATTTGTTTCAATACAATTGCTATCTTTGAAGACCACTCAGACCATAACCAATCAGAATTTGTTATCTTAATCAAATTGATATTGTTGTTTTATTCTTTCATCATGAAGCACTTCAAACAAAATCAATTAACAAAACAACGATTAACTAAACTGAGTTGTAGTATTTACCCCTATTACAAACTAATTAAATTGGTGAAGCACATCAAAGACAAATATCATAATGCTAATTACAATGGTTTGAGTAAGGTTCAAAGCTGGGGTATTGTATAAAAATACTGAAATCAAATATTTCTGTATCATTTTTCAAAATGTCTGATAGCTGTATAGTTTGTGAGTCAGTAGTTTGCCCAAGACAGGAGGCTGTTCAGTGTGACGGGTGTGAACGATGGCAGCATAGGACATGTAATACTGGTAAGACTTTAATGTTGTTTTTTAAATTCAAAGCTATTGTATTAAATTCAACACTATTGTACTAAATTAAAAACTCAACACTATTGTATACTCAATTCAAAACTCAACACTATTGTACTAAAAATATTGTATCTTTCAGATATATCTAGAGCTCAGTACCGCAGGATGGTTAAAGAATTGACAATGGTGGCCTTCAAATGTATTGAATGTCCAGTGACGGACACACCTTTACCATGAAAAGGCAGAACAAGGGCAGTACTGAATGGCGGTGTAGTATTCGCAACAAAACAACCCTCTGTCCAGTTATTATAAAGGAACGAGCCGGGACGTACAACGCCAACACAGAGCACTCCCACGCCGCCAAACCAGGAATATTGACAGCAGTCAAGATCCAAGCTGAGGTAAACATTTATTATATTTTGACATATTAAATTTCATTACATATTATTAAACATTGTATTATATTTTGAAATTAAACATTGTATTATATTTTGAAATTATATTTTGAAATTAAACATTGTATTATATTTTGAAATTAAACATTGTATTATATTTTGAAATTAAACATTGTATTATATTTTGAAATTATATTATATTTTTAGTTGAAAGTAAAGGCACCTATGACACTCTTCGAGCCAGCACAAAATATTGTTGATAATATCCTAGCTGAGCATGTGGATAACAGAGAACCAGAGGCATCCAGACCCATTTATTCGAACCTGCTTCGATATTGTAATCGGTTCCGACAAAAAGAGAGACCAGCTGATCCAACAGATCTTGATTTTGAGGTACAGAATAAGTACAAAAAGACATATTATGTAAATATTACCATCAGTTTTCATAGTAACTGAATAATGACATCAGTATAATAAGAAATATTCAATATAATAAGCAATAATAATAATTACACCATTATTTTCTAGATCAATGAAGAGTTTTTGGCAACAGCTATTCCGGAGGTGTTTTTACAGAAAGACATACACACAAAAGATGGCCGACACCTACTTTTTGCCACAGAGAAGCAAATTGAACTTCTTGGAAAAGCTAAGACATGGTATATAGATGGTACTTTTAGAATAGTAAACAAACCATTTTACCAGCTATTGTCAATCCATAGTTTTTTAAAATCTGGTGAAAGTATCAAGCAAGTTCCCTTGGCGTTTGTACTGATGTCAGGAAAGTCTAAAAGAGACTACAAGAAGGTATGTAAATATTTTAAGAAATATTATTAAGGTCAGCAGTAAAAAAAAGACTTATTACTAGGTCAGCGGTAAAAAAAGACATATTACTGACTACAAACAAAGACATTTTAACAATTTTATTTAATCTTCACAGGTATTCAAGGCCATCATGGATATGACACCATCAGCCCCTGCAGTGCAGGCTTTTGTTGCAGATTTTGAGGCAGGGATCTGGCAGGCTTTAAGGTCAGTTTTCGACAACCCAAGTATACATGGCTGTGCGTTCCATTGGGGTCAGGCGGTTTGGAGAAAGATCCAAGAAAACGGACTTCAGGTATGTTACTTTTGAAATAATTGAGTATTTGAAAACGATATTATTATTTGATATTATTCACAACTGTCTGGTATTACTCACAATTAGTCTATGTTTTTTTTGTAGACTGCTTACAGCCAGAAAGATGCTGTATATAAGTTTTTTAGAAAAGTCCTTGCCTTGCCATTCCTACCCGCTGAACATATATTGCCAAATGGTCTCAGAAGGAAAATTAAGAAGACACCAGAAAAAACAATCACGAACTACACAAAGCAAGTTATTTCAACTTTGGAATTTATATACCAGTCAGGAAATAAGCACCAACCAGCTACTAAAAAGATGTGGGGGGATATATGGACCGAACTGAAGGACAGACTTACGTAATAAATGACTGACTGAACGACAAACTGACAGACTAAATTACTAAATGACTGGCCTAATAAAATGTATTAGTTGATGATATTGTTGAGGTTATAATAAAATGTATTATTTAATAAATTGTTGATGTAATAAATTCATACATAAATGTATTATTTAATAAATTGTTGATGTGATAAATTCATACATAAATGTATAATTTAATAAATTGTTGATGTAATAAATTCATATATTAGTGATTATTTGTGGTATTTATTTGTAACTTGGAATGAGTCGGGTGTTTTAAAAGTTGGGATGAATTGTCTTTTGACTTGGGATGAGTTGTCTTTTGACTTGGGATGAGTTGTCTTTAAAAGTGGGATGAGTTGTCTTTAAAAGTGGGATGAGTTGTCTGGGATGAGTTGTCTTTGGGATGAGTTGTCAGGGAATCCACTTCATTGCTTGACCGTCTTCAATCTAGCGTTCTCCCGGATGTAGGCGACGTATTACATAATGAATTAGGAGGCAGGTGTGATGGTAATTTGCATACAGGTGGTAGGTGTGATAGTTAGCTAAAGCAGACGACTCCCTTTGTTGAACATAAATAGTTAGGCAAGAAGGGTACATTATTGAGAATATATAATTAAACGACATATACCAAATAGCCTTTGCCCTACTTTACTTTTTATTAAAAGTAAGCCCACGGTATACAGTCTATAATTTCGCAAGAGAGTTAATTCTCTATCAACACTAATTCTGTCCTGGAACAGAGTAACTATTGATATCAATTTCAGTAAATTGATAAAAAATATACAGATTCAGCCCGTTACGTTGAAAGTTATGAGAGAAAGGTTGGTTTTGCAAATCAGTAAATAATATTATAGGTCCTAATGCGTCCCCGTCACGAGTTCATTTTGTTAAAAATATATACCGAGTTTATTTTGTTTATAAAACCCCAATCAAACAGCTGCTAGACGCTTATTGGTGATTCATCTGTTGTAGTAACTAACTAAAAGCCATGTCATGCGAATTCATGTAGTATAAGTTGTAGTATTGCCCAAGTTACCATAGAAGACAGCTATAAGTTCAGTCCTTGTTCGTTCAGAGACGGATGTATACTTCATTTAATTTATCATAAATAAATAGCACTCTTATGTAATTTAACCATGTTTCAATATTAGTTATATTCACTAGATAACAAAGTTTTAAAACGGAAACATAATCAGGTTGTCGGATATTTTATGGAAGTTTATTCCACACAGTTGAGGCCCTGTATCGAAAAGTTTTGGATCAAAATGTTTTCGAAATATGGGTAAGTAACCAAATAACAACTTGCATAATGGGCGTTTTGGATGATACAATGCTGCAAGATTTTGAAGACATCCTAGGACAGATTTGTTAACAGATAGCTGAGTTACAGAGATGATTGTTGTTATTTTTTTTAAAAAATTTAGATTTACTATATTGTTCTTTAAAACAACGTTTTGGTAACTCCTGCAAAATGAACACTACATTAAAATGTTCTTTGGATGCCGAATATTGCTATGCTGTTCTTGATAAGTTAAAAGAACTTATTGGTCACTTCTGATTACCCAGCTAGTTAAGTCTTTGACCGCACGGTAAGAAGACAGCTGACTGGTCAGAATTCTCGCGCACTGATACCCCATGTCATTTTTCCCCATCCGTTAAATTCTCGTCACCAGGAACAGTTACAGACTTCAAGTAAGTGGTTGTGCAATTCCCTGCCACCATAACAGGTGTATTTATCCAGATCCACATGAAAATATCGCCTTGTTTAAAATAACCAACGAAAGCATTGACACATCTTAGGTAAACTAAGTCAATTCTCTGATATGCTACCAACCCATGGTGTCTTTTTTTTTTTTAAAAAAAATATTTATATAAATATTATATAATACACAAGGGAGGCAACTCCATTTAACGCCCATGTTATCAGTGTTTATTGATAGCAATAAACTGGGCAATGATGGTGATGATTAAGTGCTGGATTCGTTTAAAACTTTGTAATGGAATTCAAATGTTCACTGCGGGTGTCACAAGCGAATCCAGAGAATTGACCCACTACCTCACAATTCCAAAAACAACACAATTCACTCAAAACTACTCAAGACAGTAAGCAGACATTGCCCAGAGTATTATATCTCCCGCGTGAAAACAAAGCTTTATATTTCAATGAACTAAACAAAAGTAGCAGCTCCGGAAAATGTGGACATGTTTTGAAATTTAGTTTTATAATTTAAGTAAGGAATGTTTCGAAGACGATGATGTTGTGGGTATTAGAATAAGGTTGAGGAACCCATCTGGGCACTGGAATTGTGCCATGTCTAATCATTTAGCACTACACGAAAATTATAATTGCCCACCTTCCATGCTTTTACTGATACAATAATCTTACTGGCAGTACCTCTCTGTACCTATCGTAGATACGTTGCTGCATCTGAGCCATGAAGACTTGACACTATATATAGCCTGCACTTCATAATTGTGATCCCTGAACGTGCGGCTACTTCTTACACGAATGTGGGAGTGGCAGTCATGCTTTGAATTGGATCCCGAGTTCATTTTGGTAAAAGACACCAGCTGCTCGGCTCTTATTCGTGCACCATCTGTTGAAGTAACTAACTAAACGTCATGTCAAGCGAATTCATTTATAGTACTCGTAGTATTGCACAAACTACCATGAAAGATAGCTATGAGCCCACCCCTGTTTCGTTCAAAGCCGGATGCATACTCCATTTAATTTGTAAGTGTATTATAATTAGCACTCTTCAAAATTGTGATCCCTGAATAAGTCTTTACAAGAATGTGGGAAGGGGTGATCATGCTGGGGTTGGACCCAGGGTTCATTTTTAAAACATCTTGTAGGCGCTTGTTGATGCCTCACCTGTTCATGTAACTATATAAACCTTCTGTCACCCGAATCGATGTAGTATTGTAAAAAGATTTTTTTAACCAAAACACACGACTAACAAGCTAGAAATATACTAAAATGCTTTGGAACATGGAGAATGATACACAAACCACAATCCAGTCCCTCGAAGCTAATTTGCATGCCCATGATCAGCCAGGTTCAGATTTTACATAAAATATTCATTGTAAGAATTTTCCTCATTTTCATATTCTTATTTATGACAAATAAATATATTCATTGTCTAAATTTTAATGAGTTACATAACATGTAAGCATGCTTACAACAATAAAATATTACATAAATAATTCCAGAAGATATAGAATAGGATTCATAAATACTGGCGTGAAAAATTATGCAGTAAAAGTGTGGGGACTAAGGCAAATACTTCATGACTTGTTAAAAACCAAAATGTTTGTGTTTATTTCGAATATTGCCATATTGTTCTTAAAAAGAACTTATTGGTTACTTCTGCACAATGATAAGTCTTGATTATCCAACTGGTTGTGCAAATGAAATGGGGTTTAACGTCCTACTGTTCGAACAGTTGTGTAATCCTCTGCCGCCTTCACAGCTAACAAGAGTTCTTCTGATGTCCATGCGTCAATAGGATAAGACGACACATAATTCTGAAGAAATTGTCGTACCAGAGATGTTGAGTTGGTCCTGCACATAACCCATCGAACCTTTGGACTGTCCATCAATGTAGTAAAATCTCTTGACCTTTGTTGAGAACTGACTGGTATTGAATGGACGGGTTCTTCACTCGGATCATTTGCTGGAATTGCAATTCTGGTAGGAAGGGTTGAACACGGTTGAGATACATTTCTCTCTCCCGTCGGTGCTGGATTAAAACTGTCTTCTTTTCTTGCTTCAATGACAGTGGATATTTTTAGCAGTAAGGTTTGAAGGAATAGACAACGAGGAGACCATCTGTAGTGCTCCCCTACAGGGATATCATACCTCTCCCAGTCTGTAAGTTCGATGCCGCAAAAGAAACATCGAACCATATCACCGGGTCCCGTGTAGTAAAATCCTGCTTTAGCTAGGGCCAATGAACTAATGCTTTGTAAAAACACACTTTCGCACCCAGCAAATGAATGCTCCCTGTTGATCAACTGTGAATAGTAGGGATTGTGTAAGGAATAGTCCATCATCGAAGGCAGAGTAGAAACTACGGGACCGAACATTTGTACAAATGGGCATTCTTTCTCGGCATAATAATGCTTCATAAAAGGTATACATGTCCTTGACCAGTCCTGTACTGTCCGTAAACACGAACTGCATCTCACTTCGTCGCCATTGTGGTTACCGGTGTAGTAAAAGCCGACAGTACACAGCGATTGTGGAGTTGGGAGCGAGTGCGGCCAGGATGTGAAAGTATCCATTCTCATTTTTGCACTTGCCTCTAATTTGGTGCTTGAGCTTCCACTGCAGCAAAGCTGGGATGAAGAACTACTGGTAGCTTCTTGAACAGGTCGCATGTGGTCCCCCATTGTTCAACTTCCTCGAGAGAAAATTTGCGGTTGGACTAACCCGTATGTTATAGGTGACATAATATACGTACTACTTGCATAATAAATTAGGAGGTGGGTGTGATGGTTATTTGCTTACAGCTGGTAGGTGTATTGATTAGCTAAAGCAGAAGGCTCCCGTTGTTGAACATAAATAATTAAACAAGAAGATTTCATTATTGAGAATATAATATTAGACAAAATATACCAAATAGCCTTTGCACTACTTTACCTTTTTTTTTTTTATTATACCGTCTATAATTTCGTAAGGGAGTTAACTCTGTCAATCAACACTTGGAGCGGGACAACTGCCGGTGATATCATTTGTTTTTCTGATATCATTTGTTAAATATTCTTTATTATTATCATACAGGTTCAGTTTACAGCTTGTTCCACCAGCAGCTGTCCTAGATCCATCAGCATTATATCTGTCCTGTAACAGAATAAATATTGATAAGAATTCAAGTAAATTTATAAAAATATATAGGTTCAGTCCTTTATGCTGAATTTTATTGAATGTTATGACAGAAAGATTAGTTTTGCAAAGAAGTAAATTTTTAGCCCTAATGCTTCTAGTCACGTTAAGATTTATAGCCTAATACTCTGTTTTTGCAGCTGAAACTGTGTCGCTATTTCAGTAGAGGGTGGTCCCATATGTCGAGGATTATGTCTGTCACAGTTATAGAAATATTGCAAATATTACGTTTAAATAAATATTATGAAAATAAACAACATGAAGCAAAGGATGGATTTCAAGTTTGGATTTTTGAGAAAAAAATCAACAGCTGTCTGTAAACCTTTTTAAACACAAGGGCTCTGTTGTAAAATCTACATTTCAAAATTATGACCACTGTCTGCTATATTAAGCAGAAAAGTAGGACATAAACCCCTTTTCATTTCATTCTATTTCACTGGCTGCTCTAGTCTGTTTCAACAAGCCCAATTCTAGATAAATAGGGAGCCACGGTGGCTAGGTGGGTAAGGCGCTGGCGAAATGGTTGATGCTTTGGGACACAATAACCTTGGTTCTAATTAAACACATATTATGCAAGAGCTAAATCTGCCTATTGTAGGTCTTTCTTTAGGCCTGAAATGTTATATAAAAATTAGACATTGATTAACTTATCCAAACCATAATCAACTCTCAATGTCATCGCTAGCCTGCGATGTTTATTGGATTAGGTTCCGATTTGCTGTTCGACTTCCATTCATAATTTAATCATGAAGTGGATAATCGAGACTATGTTTTTACCGTACCGGCGACTTTAGTAATGATGATCGAGGCTAGGTCGAAAATTCAATCGCTAAAATCTCTTTTCAGAGTGGATCAATTTGACTGAAATTTTCAGCATATTCTCATTATATTATCTATTTTTTTTAACTATAATGTATCGTTAAGCTTATTTTATCCTCTCATCCAGGCCATTTACACACGACTGTTACTATATCTTTCCGTGTGTGAGTGCGTGTGTTTGTGTGTGTGTGTGTGTGTGGGGGGGGGGGGCTAACGCTTGCGCTTTAGATTATATGGTCTGTCATTGAGTAAAGTGGAGTGGTTTCATTGCCAAACTTGTACGTGTCAAGGAGTAGGGTTGCCTATCCAAGGGGGGTTGTCTGTCATTGAGTCGAATCCCCGGTTGTACGTGACAAGGAGTAGGGTCGCCTGTCCAACCTCGTGGGTTTTCTCCGGTTTCCTCCCACTGCTAAAGACCCCTACGCGCAAGCGAATTATTGAAATAAAATTAAACCATATGTTAGTCCCGAAATGACCTAGTTTGTGTCGAGTGGACGTTAAACCCCATTTCTCTCTCTCTCTCTTTTGTCTATCCAAATTTGTGGGTTTTATCCAGTTTCATTCCACTGCTAAAGACCCTTACGCGCCCGTCTCCATGAGAAGAACAGTAGGCTATTCAACCCCATTTCATTTAATTTCTCTTACGCGCAATCGAAATTTTGAATTAAAATTGAACAAATTGTCGGTTTCCAATGACCTAGTGTATGCCAACTGGCCGTCAACCCCCATACCTTCCCCCGGATTGCAAATAGTGTTGGTTATTTGTATACCAAAACAGTGAACAAGCCATCGTATACTACATTACTCATAGGAATGTCTATATCTCAAGATCTTATCTTAAGCGAGTTAAATTTTAAAATTATCTTAAATGAAAGGCGAGGATTAAGTTAATGTTGTTTTGATTATCGGGTGTAGTCTTACTCTATAATATAATGATAAGAAATATGAAATTCATGTTGGTCGATGTAAATATAGATATTTGACAATGGTGTAGTGTGTATATTCAATCATGGTTGAGAAAGATTTAATTTTTTGTTGCATTCAAAACAGAGATTTCATTTTTTGTTGCATTCAAAATAGAATTATGTTTTCCCGTGCACATTAACCTAGCCAGTGCCGGAAAATAAGACATTAGACTCCATTTTATTTCATTCCATTATTCTAACAGAGAAATATGTCAACGGGTACGTCGTTGAGAGGATCAGCGGTCTAATTCACGAAAACGTAAACTAAAACATTTTAAGGAAACAGCCATTTGATTGATTGATGATTAAAATTCTAGTACACATTTGAGCTCTTGGCCAATGAAAGTGACGAATTCTTAAAATATTTTAGTTTAATTTTTTAAGCACAAGGCCCCTGTACTTAGTAATGTATGTGTAATTTGGAGGGAGATTTTATTAACTGACCCGTCTTCATTATCCGTGGGACGTTAACATAGGCGTAGGAGCAGGGGGGGGGGGCAAAAATTTATTTTCGGGCAATGAAAAATTCGACGATTTTTTTTTTCTATTAACGTTTAGAGAAAAAATATAACTAACTTATTTCTATGAGATCCACACTGCCCGAAAAGTATTTTCTCGTCTTTTTCTTGTCCACTCATATGCCCGAAAATATGCCCGAAGCTCTCTTATGATAGGTATGCCTGAAAAAACGGTATTGCCCGAAAATAGGTATTGCCCGAAAAACGGGCATCGGGCCGGAAAGCGGCAGAGGAAACTAGCAGTAAAACGCGTTTGCGACCGTCAAATATTCCAAAATTTTCTTGGCGGGTCATTCGCCTCTCAAAGAAAACCGGCGCCGCTGTCTATATAAATCCGAAATTTTTCGGGCATTTCTAGTTTTGCTTCCCTAACTGTCATCGAGCCCTAATAAAACACTAATTTTACTTTTCTTGTAATTGAATATCACGAATTTGTACTGAGTTGACTATGGATTAAAACATTTTGTCTGGAGCCACTCTACTTTGTGTGACATTTTTCAGGCATCGATTATTATTTGTGAATGCAGATGCAACAGTCTGATTGGATGGTTAGAATTCAGAGTGGGATTTCAGTTACAAAACCATTGGATACTTTTGGAGTTGCTTACACGGGCTAGAATAGCAGAAAACGCATTTACGGTGATTAAATTTTCAAATTTTTCTCCGGGAGGGTGAGGAATCCATATACCGCGCGACGATTGGTTGGTTGTTTGGAATTAGGGTCAGCCAGGTAGGCTATATTGGACCAAATTGAAGTTGCTGTATTCACAGACTGGAATAACAGGAAAACGCGTTTGCGGCAGTTACATTTTCAAAATTTTCTCCCAACGGTCCCGTCTTCGTTGACTGTAAACGATTGATTGGAATTCGAGTCAGCCACCTTAATAAGGCTATAATATATATTCGACCACTTTGAAGTTGCTTTGTTCACCGGCTGAAATAGCAGGAAAACGCGTTTGCGACAGTTAAATTTTCAAAATTTTCTCCTAACGGTCCCGTCTTCGAGGACTCTAAACGATTGATTGGAATTCGAGTCAGCCACCTTAATTAGGCTATATTAGACCGCTTGGAGTTGCTTTGTTCACTGGCTGAAATATCGGGAAAACGCGTTTGCGGCAGTTAAATTTTCAAAATTTACTCCTAACGGTCCCGTCTTCGAGGACTGTAAACGATTGATTGGAATTCCGAGTCAGCCACCTTAATTAGGCTATATTAGACCACTTTGAAGTTGCTTTGTTCAACGACTGCAATAGCAGGAAAACGTGTTTGCAGCCGTCAAATATTCCAAAATTGTCTTTGGGGGGGGGGGGGGGTATACAAGGTCGCTGCTGTTTTTAAACCCGAAATTTTTTCGGGCATTTCGGGTTCTGCCCCCCTACCTGTCATCGAGCCCCTACGCATATGGACGTTAAACCCTATTTCATTTCATTTATTAACTGAGACGTTAGGACAGCAACTTTAGGTGGAATAATTGGTTCTAAATCAAGTGGGGTAGGGGAGGGTGTGCTGGCTGTAACAAAGGCGGTCAGTGTTTCCTGTACACGTTCAATAAAATTCTTCAAACCGATTGACGAGATTGGTGTGGGGTTTAGGCCTCCAGTACCAATGTCACAATTCTATGGAATACAATTACTGCCTTAGTACAGAGCGACTACAGTAATCAGCAGTAAATGTATATTCAACAGAATTGTGACCTGTATGTTCCAGTTCAGTTGATAAATGCCATTGAAACAATTTATATAAAAATCGTCCTCGAAAAATCCCATAGAAGGGCAGGGAGTAAGGAAGAGTCGGGGTGGGCTGTATTAGTTAGTGGTGTATTACGCCCGTGGTCATACTGATTTCGTATTATATAAAATATCGATAGTTGTTCGTGTACACGAACTACAACATACCTTAATACATGTAGATGACAGTTGAGAATAGTGTGCGGTCTAGGCCTCCGATTTATTCATTGACATATTGAGATCAGAAACCTTTATTGTTTCCTGCCAACCCCTTTCAGAATTCGGCTCTCAAAGACTATACATCTCCACCCACAAGACGCATGACAGAAGTTTTATGGATGAATACGCTGGGAGCCCGATAGTGGTTGTGGTTTTCTGACGAACGCTTTCAATTGCCTGAAGTCACCGGTTACAGTTTCTGTGAAATGCGCTAACTGGCTAATTAAGAGGGGCATGCGTCATACAGATATGAGGGTCATTTTGCCAGTTAGCGACTACTACTTTTCATCTACATGTATTTGCAACTGTCATGAGGGATCACAGTGGCTAATTAGGTAAGGCGCTGGCTCGCTAGCCTGGAGGTCGGAACT